GCAAACGCGTGGTTGGCACCTTTGCCACCGAGCCACCAGCACGCAGGCTGCCCCATGCAGCCCCCAGCTTGGCCAGAGCCGACGGTGAGGCCCCGAGTCAGCTCCGAGCATGGCTCTGGGTGACGACCCATCCCTCGGGAGAGGGGGGACTGCTCCGTGAACTATGTGCCTTGCCAAGCCCCTCGGAAGGGAAAAAAAATCATAAAATCAACCAACACCACCCTTTTGCAAACGGAGAAGCAGCCTTTGAAGGGTGGCTCGTTTAAAAATAACGCTGAATGCAGCTCAGCTTCCAGATCAAAGTCTGTGGCTATGGAAAAATTATTTTGTTTTTTTTATTTCCATAAGACAAGCTCAGACGCAGCTGCACTAGCTCGTAAGCTCTTCTGCTAGTAGAGTGGTTGTGGGGGTTTGTCGCTTTTTTTAACACCTCCCTGAAGTTTTAACAACTAGCAGAGACAACAAGCAGTTGATGAAGCTGTCCCTGGGGAGGGGATGAAGCACAGCCTATGCAGTCACAGCAAAGAGAGAACAGTCTTGGGAAAAAAAAAAAAAAACACACACATAAAAAACACAGGAAAAAAGCCTAAATCCAGCACGGAATGGCAGCACTGCTGGAGCCAGCCCTTCTTCTCCAGCATGTCAGCCCCGGGGCAAGGTTACTGCCCCAGCTGCCGTTTCCAGAAGGTCTGATTTATCCACCATCCCCGGCACTCCTCGTGTCCCAGCGCGCGTCTCAGCGCGCTGAAGTATTCCAACGTCGGATGGCTTTTGCCTGCGAGAAGGTGAACGGACCCACGGGTGGAGTGATGGGCTGGGCCAGCTTGCAGTTCGTTTTCGCTGGCCAGGCCATGGGAACAGCAGAGGTGACTCAGAATCCAACGCTTGCGTGAGCTACAGGCGTTCCCCAAGCGCCCTACTCCTGCTCTCCTCGGAGCAAGAGGCAAGCAGGGGATGTTCATGCCTGCTTTTACCAAATTACATCTCCTCCTGGCCATGCAGGGTCCAACCACCACCAGCATCCCCTCCTGATCTCACCTGCAGCCCCCATGGACCACCACCACCACCACATCTGCCCGCAACTGGCTGCCAAATCCTACTATCAATTTCTGCCTGTGTCAGCCATTTGGACAGCAGTTGTGCAAAATATCACTCAGGAAAATGGCCCCAGCCAGGCCAGGCTGTTATATAGAGATTAGTGATGTAGTTTAATGCCAGGGAAGAGCAGCTGGAGTGAGAGTCGTAGGTGTCCAAAGCTCTTACAAACGCGACTTTCCAGAAACAGGCATTTTTTTTTTGTGCACCACTTCCATTTCACTCCATAGCTAAGTAGGATGGAAGTCACCAAAAGCAAAGCATTAGGGAGGCAGCAAGAGATCTATTTTCCACCTGAAAGCATCATTAAATTGGAGTAGCTGGAGAAGAGGCAGGAGCAACTCTGGAGCAAACACAAGAGGTGCCAGGCAGCCCAGAGGAACAGGGAAGGAATTACAGCCTGTTTGTAAGGATCCGACCGTGGAACAGAGCGGTGCAAACAAAGGGTATTGGGCTAAGGATAGCGAGCGTAACGCTCCCTGTTTCCTTTGGGAAAGTGTAACACTCAAGCTAAGGCATGAATCCTCCTAACGGCCTTCAGATTTCACGGCATTTATCCCAGCTGCTCTCTTCCAAGTTGCTTCGCATCATGTTCACGTCATTGCCCTTTGGTACGCACGTGTCAGCTGTTTTCTCCGAAGCTCGTACACTTCCGAGTCCGGTACGCAGAGCAGGGCTGCTGTGAGCGAGACAAAGCCATTTCCACCTCTGTCCCAGCCCACTGGCCTCCCACCAGCACCGCCTGTGCACAGGTGAAAAGGACAGGCCCTGTTTCCACAGCCTACTGCTCACTCCTACCTGGCTCCCTGGTCCACACCACCCCTAAACATGCCCACACGAGGTTTCTTAAATCCAATACAACCTCAAAAACCACTGCCAAGGACGGTGGAGTTCTCCAGCTTCTGCACAAAGAGGTTTGGCTGAGCCAGGGTATGCCACCGGCGCTGCATTCACGCTCTTCAGGGACAGTGCTGCCGAAAAGCTGAACGACCTGTCGAGTGTCGGTGCGGGTGCAACGGCTGTTGAGCAGAACCGCCAGCTGCGGCTCCTCTGAACTCACTCAGAACAAGAGCTTTCCATCACCATCTCTGCGTTCGTAGGAGGCTGGCTTGCACATCTCCTGGGTGGCAGTTTGAGGAAGGGGCTGGCTGGGTAGAGCAGAAATTGCTTAATGGAATGGGAACAATTATGAATGGCACAAGCCGAGATAAAAAAAATGCATTCAGAACGTCTTTAATCAAGTAACACTAAAACTTCTTTACAGTGTCATGGCAATCTACACTTCACCATCTGTCTGATTTTTGTTCTGCCCCCATTTCTCAAATACAGAATAAAAATGACATTTTAAAACGGAACACATGGCTGTTTCTACAAGACTTCACTGCTTCAAGTGAGTATTTTTTGCCTGTTAGTCTTGTATAAACTTCTTAAATCACCAGAATTCTTTCTTTCCGTAAGAATTTTAAAAGATAAAGCTCTCTCCTCCTGACCCTCAGACCTTCACTACATTATTAGGTGTGCCTTCTCATTTCGGATGGCAGCCTTTCTTCCAGGCTCAGTATGCACCCCAGAAATGGAAAGTTGGGAGGGGAAAGAAATATAAGGAGTCATTTTAGGAGTATCTGGGTGTATTAAAGTTGGGAGGTTAGCTAGAAAGATTCTATGTGGGGCAGAAGGATGCATCAAGCATCCGTCAGGGCTTTGGAAGATACTCTGCACTACATTACACACGGAGGGATTTCCTTATGGACCATCGAAGAAACTGTTGCCACGAAAGACAGAAGAGACGATCTTGCCAGTGGAATTGATAGTGCCTTCGCTATCCGAGCTGGACTCGGAATCGCTGCTTCCCGAGTAGGCGCCCAGGCCAGGCAGGATCCCAATGCAGACGGCTGCTGAGGGACAGTGGACCGTGGAGCCTCCCACGGAGCTGCTCCCCAGGGGAACACAGGACGGTTTTTCTGAAAGAGAGGTACCTCGGTCAAAAACGAGAGCGCCGAAAAGGGCTCGTCATCACGGAATGTCAGGGATTGGAAGGGACCTCAAAGGATCATCTAGTCCAATCCCCCTGCCGGAGCAGGACCACCTAGATCAGATCACACAAGAACACGTCCAGGTGGGTTTGGAACATCTCCAGAGAAGGAGACTCCACAACCTCTCTGGGCAGCCTGTTCCAGTGCGCTGTTCCCCTCACTGGGAAGAAGTTCTTCCTCATGTTTAAGCAGAACCTCCTATGTTCCAGCTTATATCCATTTCCCCTTGTCCTGTCGTTGGATGCCAATGAGAAGAGCCTGGCTCCATCCTCATGGCAGTCACCCTTTCCATATTTATAAACATGAATGAGGTCCCCCCTCAGTCTCCTCTTCTCCAAGCTAAAGAGACCCAGCTCCCTCAGCCTTTCCTCAGAACGGAGATGCTCCACTCCATCATCTTTGTGGCCCTGTGCTGGACACTCTCCAGCAGTTCCTTGTCCTTCTTGAACTGAGGGGCCCAGAACTGGACACAATATTCCAGATGTGGCCTCACCAGGGCAGAGTAGAGGGGGAGGAGAACCTCTCTCCACCTACTAACCACATCCCTTCTGATACACCCCAGGAACTGCTGCTGCCACATCAGCGGTGGGTGATTGCAGGATCTAATTAAAGCATAAGGCAGCTTTATGCTGCAATAAAGCTGTTCTGACAGGAAGGACTTGATACCTCAGGGGATTTTTTTTTTTTTTTTCCTCATCACTAGTTTCAGCCCAGCTCTATGCTGGCATTACAGATTTTTATTCTAAAGTTGTCAGTTTGATGCTTGTCAAATACCAAACCCACTAAATAAGAATAAATAGATCTGCTTTGTGTAATTGAATATTTTTTTTTGTGATATAACAGCATAGTTGGGGAAAAGTTTTATTCCATCACTCTGCTAGTCAACATCTTCCCATCTTCCACGGCTAATTAATTATTTCCAGTGTTCTGAAAATTACTGAACAGAAGGAGATTCAGGAAACGCCTTGGGTTGTCATTACACAATTGCAGCTCACCCTGCTTGTGTCAGAGTATCTTGACAGCAAGTCAGTTGCAGCCCTGACAGCCAAGACTGAAACGCAACTTAATTTTTCTTCTAGTTCTGCACAATTTTCTGAAACAAATCGGTTTCAGGATGGACAAGATCAGTCCACAGCATGAACAGCCAATAGTGGAGGTATACAAATACGTCAAACGCTGCCGGGAAGAGGAAAGGGATGGTCTGTTCTCCACGTGTCCTGTGGACAGGACAAGCACTAAGCTCAAAATGCAGCTATGGAGACTCCTGTTAGTTATCAGGTAAAACTCTTTCAGGGTAAAATCAGTTAAGAATTAGAATAAACTGCCTAAGGAGGGTGCACAATCTCTGTCTGTGGGGATTTAAGAGCAGCTTAGACAAACGTGTCAGGAATGGTTGAGGCAGGGGATATGATGACCTGTGGAGGTTCCCTCCAGCCCTGTTTCCCATGCGGGCTGTCAGCACCCCCAGTCACATTTCTGCTGCCTTAAGAGAGAACATGCCAGCCGCAGCCTGTGCCGTCTTGCGTAACGAAGGAGCAGAAAAGCAAATCCTCTGTCAGATTTAACACCAAGTCAGCTGCTGTTCAGGTGAGAGACAGACAGCTTCCCACATGCAGAAACCAGGACATACCTTGACTCTTTTCATCATGATCAGTATCTAGTTTCAACCTCTTCACGCTGTTACCACCATCTGAACTGTGGAAGGAATAAGAAAGTGTCTTGTTCCTCAGAAGCAACCACTCAATTACTGTGAAGTTAAAAGTCCCATCTTTGCCTCAAATGCTACTGCAAACACCAGCAGGGTCCCCTGATGACCATCACCGCTTCTAACTGCTGTTAACTGGGGCTCCTTGGGGAACATGCAGGATCCTAGAAGGAGTCAACACCTACACTGCAAGTATCACCTGTTAACCTGGGAACAGAAACACGCCTCTGGGAATCCAAGTCAGACCTCTTGCACAGTAACCCTGAGCTGCCCATTCCACTGGAAGTACCCCCCCAGGAGATCAGGAATGACTACCTGAGCTTCAGCCACCCCACACGACCACAGCCTCGCACACGTGGATGATTACGACGCTTCATGGTGCAACACTGGTGCCTTTCTCTTCCCAGGGTTTCCTTCCCCTCCTTCAAGCACCTAGAGAGCCTGTTCTGAAACATCTACAAATCTTGCACCCAGCAAGGCGCCCAGTAAGTTTTACAGCAATTCATCCACAGCTGCAGTGTCTGACCTAAAAATGACAAGGGTTCTTTTTGGGTCCAAAGTGGTGTTGGGGCAAAGGAGCATTACTTGGACTTCTGACTCTTCAGAGCTTCTACAGCTCTTCCTTGTCACTGCTCAGTTTCTTTTTCCCCCTCTTGCACGTTCCCAAACCTAAGCCATCCACATAAACAAATGCTTCCCAGCTTCAGCTGCCATCACCTAAAACGATGAAGTATGAGCATTACTATGCATTAACTCCTTCCTGTCCCTGTCAGAACATGCAATAAAGATAAAAGGTTATTCTGGGCAGGGAGGTTTTGATAGCAATACATCCTTTACAGGAAAGTACAAAGCTCGGAGAGCAGATGTGGAACTCATGCTACTCTTGGTTTTGGCCAGTTTGCAGTAAAAGATAAGATGGCAAAAACAGAAAAGCAGAGGAAGCCTGTGATGGCACTGACATGTCAGCTAAGATGCTCTCTTCAAATAGATGCCATCTGCAGACTGTAGATGCGCCATTAAGCACGTGCCAGCTCCTTCTCCACATCCTACTGGGTTAAGTACTAGTAGTTACAAGAAAAAAACATCGTTGGCTGCTTGTTATCAGTTCAAGGTTTCTCTTCTCTGCCCTCCAAAAACCCAAACAACTACCCAACCTCCCCCACATTAGGCAGTGGAAGTGCTTATTTCAGTTTTCAGACATGCAATTACTGCTGTACTGGGAGCTAAACATCACCCTACAAGATAAGCTTCTAAAATAATCTCTCATCCTCTGGGACAGATTCAAAACCACTGACTGATTTTCTAGATGTCAGTAACCATCTTAAGTATTACAAGACTCATCTGTGGGGAATAAGTCTGGCCCCACATTCCTAGTTTCTTCATAACCTGTAGCACAAGAGCAGCTGCGTTTGCAGGCCAAGATCAAACCAGCAAACAGATCACACCCCCATCTGCCATCTCCCTGGGATGGAAAGGGTGTTGACGTATCAGTGCAAATCAGCGAGATCAAGAGAACTTTGCCTGACACCTTCAGGATCAAATTGGCACCCAAAGCTCTTCTCTCCTGACCTATGTTTCCCCCATACAGACCCCAGCAGCCATCAAACCAATCCATTTTAGACACGGATAAAATCCACTGATAAGTCATGCAAACCTGAATGAAATTACATGAATGAGGTGACACCGATATCTACAAATAGAGATGTAAAATGGAATCCCTCTAGATCCCCAAGCAGGATTGCCCAAGCCTGGCAGCCCAGAATGGAGACTCTACCCACTTGCTTTACACACGTTTATCTAGTTGAATTGCTTCATGTTTTTCCCAGTTTGTGAGAGCCCACAGAAACAAGACTGGTCTTTTCTTATACCTCCCCCCTTTTTTCTTTAGGGCTAAGGTTTACACCTCACTCTCTGGAGGCAGTTTTGGCCTGCCTCCCTTTACACTGCTAACTGGGTTCCGTTCCTCATGAATTTATAGAGGTGTGAAACTAACCTTCTGTGTTTCACAGCTCCTGCCAACAGCTTTGCCTGAGAGAATTTGTTCTTGTTTTCCACTGACTTCATGGGCAATTTCTTCTCAGTTTCCTTCTTTGGGTCCATGCTGACTCCCACTTTGGTGAGAGTGCTGTGAATTAAGGGTTAAGGATCATGCAAGGGAAGGAATGGGGAGAACAGATACTTACTCTCCAATATATTTAGCCGGCTCTGCTGACAGCAGCGACCGAAGTTCATTCACATATTCTATCAAAATACACTTATTTGTAATGACATTTAGCTGGTACGTTCAGCCAAGACAGAAGAGACTTCACCCTCTGGGTTTGGAGCTCTCTTGGGTATCAATACCAGCTCTCCTGTAAGGATGTCCAGACAGCAGACTACAAGCTGCTTTTCTGGTCAGAAAGGCACAAGACACGACACATCCAGCACCCATATAAAGTCTCAGAAAAGCAAAAAGGTCAGATTGGACAAAAAAAAAAAGAAAGAGGCAGTCCATGCTTCCCCCTTCCATGGGGTCAACACATACCTAATTCAAATTTGCTGCTTCAACCCCTAATCATCACCAAAAACACTAAGTGGCAATATGTGGGCTCACTTCCACTCCTCAAACCTCCTTTTGCTGAGCCCAGCAGACCTCAGCCTGCCAAAGCAAACCAGCCCAGTTTTCTGTTCCCGTGTTTCCCAGCTCATCTCTTTGTAAGGGTCACGAGGCTGTCACTGCTGGTTTGGACACCAACCCCAAGAGGAAAGAGACAGATCTGCTGAAGATCTGTCAATCTGTTTGGGTCAAGGTTGGACCACATGGACCCAAAAAGACAGCAACTGCACATAAAAACTAAGTAGCTTAAAACAGCATTAGCAAGGTGGGATGCAGCTGAAACCTACAAGGAGGTGGAGAAGCTCAGGCAGGTTCTCAGATGGGATAAGAAGGAGCTTGGTCTGTTATTAAGGCACACTCACTCAACAGGTCTCCTTCTGCAGCAGGATCTAGCCATGCCCCTGGTAACAGTTAATAACCAGCTGTGTCTGATGAGGTCCATCAAAGATCCTGTTTGTCAACGAGGTGCCAGTGGAGTCACCAAAGCTTCTGCAAAACTCTCAAACTGCACACAGAGAAGGCAAATCAACCTAATTTTAAAAAGTATTTGTTTATAACCTTCAATCTAGCTTTCTACCAGTTTCTTCTGTGACTACAATTGCGCTGATCAGGTGACATGACCACAAGCTGGAGTTTCACAGGTGCCCCAGCTATTGCAGACAAATACTGCACAGTGAATTGCACATTGATGGACCATATATTTCAAGCCATAGGGTTTTTTTTCCTCCACTGAACACGTGCAAATCAAAACCTCTTGCACCTTCCTTTGCAGTGACGCACTCAAAGTCTCCCATCACTTCACAATTAGGAGTGTTCACATGCCATTCCTCATTTGAATTTCCTAAGGATACAGCAGTAACCCAGCCTGCTCCCGACCTCACCTGAAAGTCTTCTCGGTCAAAACCAGCCTGTTAAATGATGTTTATTTTGTAAGATGGCACAGGAGTGCCATCCTGTGGCTGTCAGAAGCAATCTGAAAGTTCCTCGGTTCAACGACGCAGCACACCATTCCACACACAACAGCGTTCAACTTCCACGTTTAGATCCATTACCTCCTCGTGTTCCAGCACAGCACTACAAAGGCCCGTCTGAGGAACCCAAAGACTTTCAAAAGACACCGAATTACAGGCTTTTCACCTCCATCCAGGATGCCATTCTCCTAACACTCCTCAACTACCAGAGCCACAGCACATTTTCACAGAGATTTTACACGTACTGCTGTCATGAGCAAATGTAAAATTACATCTCCTCAAGAAGTGTCCCCTCTCAGGAAGGTGACATTAGAAACAAACCTCTCAATCTTAAACATCAATTGAATTAAAAAAGCTGTCCTACAGTAAAGCCTGCTTCTTGGAGGGGGACTTTTCCTACATTGACACAGGATTTAAGACAAGAGGATGCTGTTCTCAAACACTTCTTGGAACTGGCTTCAAAAAGTATCTGTAAATCTTCAAACTCTGTCAGACCAGTGGGGTCTGGATAGAGTAAGGAGCAAAAAAAACCTGGCTGTTCACGCTCGAGGAAGTAAAACTGCTATGCATTCATGCATATGAATTTCTTATGCTCGAGAGCGCGTTAAAACATTCCGAGGCACGTTTATCCTTAAGATATACAGTTTCATGATTGTTCAACCTAAAAAAAAAGAAGAAAAAAAGAAAGAAGAAAAGCCTCTGTATTGAATATTGACATAGGTTCTAACGTAAAATTAACGCCTCTGAGTAGCTTAAATTGGATGCTACAGGAGGAAAAGGACCAAATAATCAAACCCATTGGGCTGACATTCCTCTTATTAGTTTGGAAGAGCACTTGAACAGGACCTATAGACCCAGCACACTTACCTAGTACCCACTGCTTTTTGTCACTGCAGTGATAAACCCTTAGGAACAACCCCCAGACGCAAAACCACCTTTTGCATTTTAAAAGAACACCACCAAAAATTTCTAAGACAGAGGAGTCATTTTGCAAGTTGCTCTGAGGTTGCTTGAAATATTATGGTTAAATACATAAATAAATAAAATAAATAAAAAGGTAAACAGAATGGGCAAAACTTCTCAGTTTCTTGTGAGATGAGGTGGCTATAAAACATTCTCCCTCCCTTCACTTTTTAGTTTAATTTGCAGCAAAACTTGAGATACAGAGCCAGATGTTATTACTAAGACTGCAGAGAGGGCGGTGAGATGTGCCTGTACGTCTTGGAAGAGGCCCTGCTCCGTAAATTCAGGGATCAGTGCATTATGTGGCTAATTCCAGACAACGTAAGATTCCCTCTGGGCTGGTATGGTCCACTCCAGCCCTACGTGACCTAACTAGAGCTGCCAGCTGCTTCCACAGCACAATCTTCTACTGCACATCCCTGCATCAGCCAGAGCCGCAAGCAATCACCACCGAAACTAAATATATCCCGCGAACATCCCATTATTAGATCCAGCAAATCAAGAAACCTCTTCTTCCAGTACCTCAAGGGGGCCTACAAGAAAGATGGGGAGAGGCTGTTCAGGAGGGCCTGTTGTGATAGGACAAGGGGTAATGGTTTTAAAATAGAGGGAGGTAGATTCAGATTGGATATTAGGAAAAAATATTTTCTCATGAGAGTTGTAGAACACTGGAACAGGTTGCCCAGAGAGGTGGTGGATGCTCCATCCCTGGAGACGTTCAAGGCCAGGTTGGACGAGGCCCTGAGCAACCTGATCTAGTTGGAGATATCCCTGTTCCTTGCAGGGGGGTTGGACTAGATGACCTTTGAAGGTCCCTTCCAGCCCTAACCATTCTATGAAACATTCCAGATCCATCAACCGACTACAGCCCACTTCTGAAGTAAAAAAAAAAAGCATCAGTATTGCTTTTTCATAAATGCAGTACTGAGCTAATAACTCAGCTGCTCTTCACAGAACATACCTCCAAGCTGTAAATCATTAACTAATGTGAGGGAACGCGGATCTTTGTAGCACAGGCACTATTCAGCTTTATTTGCTGACTGGTTTTGGTCACCTCCTTGTGTCCACAAACTCATTTATACTAAAGCATCCTTGAGAGCTCGTGCTTTGTTCACTGATGACTTACAAGCAATGGTTTTCATTAGGAGGCACAGAAACCATTAAGTTCTGCACAGATTGAGTAAACCTCAAAAAAACTACATTTAGCTTAGCAGAGAAATCCCCAAATCATTCCAACCTTCCTTGACTGGCACTGATTAGAGAGAAAAAGCATCTTATACCATTTTCTAGCACATCTTAATGAAAATATGGCATTTAACAGCAAAGACAAACTGTCCTGCTCTTAGTACTGCCTAAAAGCCTGTATTACCCAAAGGAGCTCAGTCTCTGTGGGCACTGACTTCCCAGAAAATCAGCGTTATCTCCACAGATGTATTTAATTTCTCATCCTGCAGTTATCAGTAAAGGAGGAAGTAGCTAATATATCAAGAAGAATAACAGAGAGGGCTATTCAAACAGGTATTTTAAAACTAGCCAATATGCAGTTAAAAAAAACCCAAACAAGAACATTTACTTTTCAATAAGACGACAAAAGCGAAAGATTAGAAGTAATATGCTGCTTTGCCTTTACTTTTCTTTCTCTTCTTAGCTAGGGTATTTCATGCTCTCAAAAACAGAAAGAAAACCCCAAATGATGGGGAGGGGGAGAAGGAAAGAAAAACACCAAAGACGTGGGGGTTGAGGGGGAGGAGGAATATCAAACATTACAGTGGGAGATCCAGGCTACGATGTAAACGTTCAACTTTAAAAGTCTCTCGTCGTTCATGTCCTGTGAAGCAGTTTTACAGAAAGAACATCAAGGACAAAATAAAACTACAGCCCAGTCTCTTCTCCCCTATATAACCCCCCACCACTTTAACACAAAGGATATTCTATATTCGTTTAGTTCTTTCAGCTCCTCTTCTCTTCGTTGCTTTTCTAGTAGCTCTTGCTGCCGAGAAACTTCATCAAGGAAATGCGTCTCATCTTCATCTAAGCCTCTCACCATGTTTTCTGAATAAAGGAGAAGAATGCATATTGATAAGCTAAAACCACTTAGGGAGCAGCCGTCTATTTTGGGTTACTTTGCCATTCTCTAAGAACATTTTCTGATGATTTCAAACTGCCCTATACACTTAGGTAAGTGTCCACATCTCGCATATAGAATCACGGCATGGTTTGGGTTGGAAGGGACCTCAAAGATCATCCAGTTCCAACCCCCCTGCCATGGGCAGGGACACCCTCCACTACACCAGGTTGCCCAAAGCCCCATCCAACCTGGCCTTGAACACTGCCAGGGATGGGGCAGCCACAGCTTCTCTGGGCAACCTGTGCCAGTGCCTCACCACCCTCAGAAGGAAGAATTTCCTCCTTAGATCTCATCAAAATCTCCCCTGGTTCAGTTCAAAGCCATTGCCCCGTGTCCTGTCACTACACACCCTTGTCCAAAGCCCCTCTCCAGCTTTCCTGTAGCCCCTTTAGGCACTGGAAGGCTGCCAGAAGACATGACATTTCTAATATTGCCAAGGTAGAACAATTTGCACAAAGTCAGTGGTAAGGTGGTGAGTAGAGTCCTGGGTGACTCAGTGACTTGGGCACTCCAGCGATCACGCTGTTGTGCCAAGGAAAGGGCACAAAGCAAACTCCACAAACTATCTGCTGAATTCTGCAATTAAGGGGTAAAAACACTTCCCACTTAATGATACTGAATGCTAACAAGCCAAAACTCTTACACAGTCAAGCAAACAAACTACAACAAACTAACACAGTCTGAACACAACATTATCACTACAGAGAAAAGCGAGATATAATTCATAGGAAGCCCTGAAAGTCTCAGACTTGCTGACGTAATTAAGGAAAATTGACCAAGTTTTGACACAAGCTGCCTTTCTGCAGTTCTGAAACACCATTCAGAATGGTTACACAAAACAAGGAATAACCACATTAACCAACAATATAATTGTTGTTTTGGTTTCAGACACCAAGTTTAAGCCTGTCTCTTCAGATTTTGTTGTTAAACCAACCAATAACTGGAAAAAGCACGTTACTTCTCCCCATAACTCTTGGCTCAAAGCAGGAAGTACATTTTCTTAAAGCAAACAATTAGTAACTTAACTGAGATTACCATCTGTTTTTAAAAAACCAAAAAAGTAGAAGCAAGACAGTTCCTAACTTCCAAACAAGATGGAACTCTTTCTAAACATGTTACCTTATTTTAAGGAAAGTACACACTAGTGCAGTAGGAAGGTCCTTTATTTTCTGCTCTGCAAATGTTCAATGTCTCTCAATCAAATGATTTATTCAGAAAGTTAATAATTTTTTTTTTTTTTTGTAGAAAGACCAAATCTTGCTGTTTGTAGCCATCCTCGGAAATCTTAACGCAAATATCACCGTTAGTCTTCATGAGAGTTTAATTCTGCAAGAGGATTTTTAGGCTTTTACATGAAGTCATCATGTTTTTTTTCATCTCCACCCACATAGTCAAGTCCTACTCACTTCAATGGCAAGCTAAGAAATCCATTTACTCTGATAATTGGCAAGCTTCTGTCTTTGACAAAAAAACCCACTAGAAATCAACTATTATTTGAGGTTACTTTTTAAAGGTTGATCCCTACTCTTTGGTCTACATTTAGCCCATATCCGGGGCTAAACACCAGCCAGCTGTTCTGTTACCCAACAACCTGTCCCCACCAAAGGAGAATCGGAAAGAGGATGGAAGACCTGTGGGTTGAGAGAAAACTATTTAATAATTGCAATAAAATAAAAAGGAAAATAATAATGATAATAATAATCATACATACAGACAAGTGATGCATGGTGCAATTGCTCACCACCCCTTGACCAATGTCCAGCCTGTTCCTGGCCAGCGATCCCGGAGCAGGAAAATCCCAAAACCGCAATCTCAGAAAAGAAAGAGGCAGCCTTGGGAGCAGAATGACAGGTGAGACCCTCCAGGGAAGGTGGCCACTGAGAAAGAGCCCATCACCAACTAACTCTCCAATTTATAGTGAGCATGACATTAACATGGTATGGAATGCCCATTTGCCAATTGAGGTGTCCATCACCCTGGCCGTGCTCCCCCCAGGTTCCTGGACACCTGGGTTGTGAGCAAAAACAAGTGGAATAGTCCTTCATCACTCTGGCTACCTGCACACCACCGCTGGCTACAAGTGTCTTATCAACTCTGTTCTCACCGAATCAGGCGCTGCAGTCGTCTTCAAAAGGCAGCCGACTTTGGAAACGTAGCTTTTCTGAGCAGAAAATTGATCCTATCGTTCTATCCCAGAAAAACCAGGACATCTTTCCAACTGCAAGAATGCAGAGCTCATTCATAAATCTTTAAAAGGTAACTTGCAGCGTTCACTACTACTGCTGAGGGCCCTTCCAAGAGACAGGAAAAGCAGGGAAACTCTAGACCGTCGAGTTTTTTTGGAGCAAGTACCATGAAGCAATTTCACTCTCTGCCTGCCTGACGTGCAAACTAAGAGAAGCAGCCAGAGAGATCCTTCTGGCTGATATCATTGATTCCCTACTAAACAGACTGCAAGAGCTTTTATTCTCCTGTTATTCCACAGGGGTTGCCTTAAAAGCAGCAGCTGGCTTACTTCTCAGTTACCCCCAGTCAGGGATGCCTCATTCCAGTACTGGGTTTACAGGTTTCCTGCCTGAACCAAAGGGAAAACATTGCAGATGTAAGATAACTTGGCAAGGGAAACAACTAATTTAGGCAGGTACTGGAAGCCTTTCCCACCTGGGCTGGTAGCAGTCAGTTTTCTGGTGCCTACTTGGACAAGAATTGCTTAGTCACATCACCAGAGATGATTTGGATCAAAAGTTTACTGAAGTAACGTGGAAACTCTGCAGCTGGAAGGAATCCTGTAGGTACAGTTGGAGACTTTAATGCACTAATGCTGCTATCTTTACTTCCCACTTTTCATCACTAATTAAGAGACAGGGAATAACTTCCGCTTATCCTTATTTTGGTTACCATAATAATTCAGAAAGTTTTTTAAGTGGCATTTCAGAGAACACTAGTATTACTTTTCATTTAAAATACTGTAACGTTCTACTAAAATTATTTTACTTTGAAAAGGAAGCCATTCTTGCAATGCTGAATAACCTAGCAGGAAGAACTGCAGCTCTGTGTATCGGGTTTTACTTACACAAAAAGTTTAGAGTAACTAAGTTTGTGTGTTTCACAATTCTTCAGTGTTAAGGTGTTTCTTCTCCTAAGTCCCATCATCAGTTCTGACTGATCAGAGCAACAGCGCACTAAACTCTTTTTCTACTCCTCCAAAATCCCCGTGGGTAGAAAAAAATACTTATGAACACTTTAAGGCAAATTCAAGCACATCAAGGGACAAACCTTGTCACGAGTGGCCAAACTGGGCTGAACTCTAAAGTAAACTAGTGGTCCACAGTCCCCCCAACACTGACTTTTAGTTAGTTCCTCCCACTTACCTTCTCCCAAAGAAATCTGGCTGCAGCACGATTCTAAAAGCACGTACTACAGAACAGGATTGCAATCATGGCAAGCAGTAAGGCACTCGATGGCATCTGCAGGGGCAAGGAGTGTTACCCAAAGGAACTCAAAGATTGTGCCACAGCTAAAGGTAAAAGATGGTTTTGGTGCGTCGCAAACGCAAGAGAATTTCTAGGCAGAATCCAGCTCAGCAAACTGGAGCTTGAAGAACACAACAGTGTGAGGGTAAGGCTTCCGGCTAAAGAATCAAAATCAGCCAGAACCCACCTTAAAATGGAGTCCCACAGTACAGTATCATCCTCACTTCTCTTTAGATAGAGCCAATAGCTCCCTTTTTCCCCAAATGGTTGACTAATAATTTTCTAGTTCTTATTATCATCTTTGCACTCAGCAGCACATACCCAGGGGATACGATGCAAAGGATTTTGCTACAAAGCCAGAAACTCAAACATCAGTACAAATTAGGTCTCTATTTCACTAGAAGAGTTAAGTATCTCTGTTTTAAATCAACTCCTGCATGTTTACTTCTTCCAAACAGTAATCTTTAGCCTCAAATCAGTTTTGCATCAACTAACTAGAGCTTCGAGATGTAACAGCTGCTGGAACAGGATTTCTTTTTATTGATTCAAATAGGAGGGTCTTGTGTTAAAGCCTGAGCTCACAAAACCACGTTACATTTCCACTCTTCCATGGGTTGGTATCGGGGTGGGGGGTTGATTTAATGTGCCAAATAAGCCTGGTATTCCACAGTTTACAGGAACGCAGCTTCGTAACTGCAAGCAGCTTCTGAGTTTCAGATGTGTGCAGTGCTGCCTCAGTGCCCACAATTCTGTTATCCGCAGGAATATCTACCATCCTTGAAAAAGACAAGATTGCAATACTGCTTTTCTGAAATCTTTCTCTCTCAGAGAGGGGGACACGACGCACAGATACGTCCCTTACTCGGATGTTGTGAACAGCTGCCGCACACAACACATGCAGTTTGCTGGGTTTCGATTCAGAATAGTAACTGCTGGTGCTTACTGAATTTAAACTGCTCCTCAAACTCCTGCTGCTTCTTTTCTCTCTGTTCCTGAAGCCTCTCATACAACGAACGTGGGTCATACGCCTCCTCTGGGCATTCTGAAAGGAAGGAACAAATCAGGAAATGAGACCGTGGTTTAGACATACTAATTCACCAACAGTTCTTACTTCCTTCATGTAAAGACCTTTGGAATTTGTAAAATCCGAGTTATTACCTTTTATTCCTGTCTTCCACAAAAGTGAAACATTCTCCAGTCTCTTTCCTGTAACTACTAAAATCTATCCCATACCTTTTGGGTCCTCAGGTTTTCGGACCTTTTCCCATTCCTCCTGCCTTCTCTTTCGTCGCTCCTCTAGCTCCGCCTCAGACACAAACCTCTTGTTAATCACCAGATCAGCAGTACCATCTCCTCCATCCATGGTGGAACAGCCAGTCCTAAAAACACAATATAAGGGACATCAGGGGCCCGATTCCACATGTCAGTGCATGAGACATCCCGAAAATCAGACCCACGGCACTATAACAACTCCACTTCTCTAAAGACCACTACATAGTAAGTGCTGATTGAGATACCTACTCACTGCATAACTTTTAAGATTAACAGCACCACCTACTACTACTTCCTTACTCTTTTTCATAATTATGTCTTCCCTGTTAGTCGTCTGTCTCAGGCTGCTTTTCTAAAAATCATATTTTAATGGAATTTTGCCCACCCCACTGGATTTACCTTGCTTAAATAAATAATAATAATAATAAAATAAAAAACCACACCTATTTATTTCAGTTCTTACACCTCTCTGCTCTGGAGACAGGAGGATTTGACGCTGCCTTCACCCACATCCTGTGAAAACTTGAGAAAGCTTCAGTGACTGGAATACATAACATTTGTAAGTGCTTAACAGTGAGATTTCAGAAGTTAGCACCTCATCTCTCTAACCTTCCAAAGCATTCTGCACCTCCATGCAGCTCTGGGGAGAGCTAGGCTTGGACAGACCATGCTGTGGGGCTGTCTGGCAGTTCCATAGGTGAGTGAAAGAGGGAATTCCCTTGGACTAAAACAAGACTGGGATTAGAAAACAGGAGCAGCACTTTGGACCAAGTGAACACAGCCCATTCGCACACAGTTCCCCACCCTCTGCTCCAAGAGACCCCAACACTTCAGTACTGGCCAGGCACCTATTTCAAAACCAGCTGTAGGGAGCACACCCTAAGGAGGGAACTCATGCTCTTGGCCCCTGTAAGTGCAGGAGGAAACAAACCGCTTGTGCAAGCCCTAAGTGGCTCCTTTCAAGATTTATTCCGCCAGCTCCATGCTACAGGAGGCGGCATTAATGCCTATTTTTGTTTCTTACATCAAACCTGTATATACCAGTACAACATAAGCACAGCTCTGACAGCTGTCCATTTAAAGTCATGCTAACCTCACACTTGTTTCTAGTTTCTTCTTATTTCCTTGGTAAAATCTCAGCAAGTACCTCAAGGATACAGATAATTGCCCTCTGTACTGCAGTATTCACTCAGGATCTCACCCTGCCTCCATTTTAGAACTGGAAGAGAACTCAGCACGTTTGTTCTTCCAGGGAGGGAGCGATGCAGTAACCCAAAGAATAGAAAGAACCAGTTTATCACCCTTCCTTCGTACCCCAAGGAACCACACCTGCAGGAAGCAGAGTCCTGGAATTCTTACAAAAAGTGATGTTGTCATGGGGTATTGCTTGTAACACAAATGATGAATTGAGGTTTCAGGAGAAATCTAGGTTAGAGCATTGGACATGTTTGCTAGAGCAGGATGCGTTCTTAAGGTGGGAATTATCAAAAGAAGACAAGACAAAAGGATTCTCCTAACAACTGGGGAAAGGAAGGACAGATCAAGCGCTGATGATTTTCTCTTCTTTTTTAAACTTTTCTTTCTTTTTTTTCTGTTTCAATATTTAACAAAACTCCACCCTAAAACAAGTCCACCTTCCAGAAAGCATGGAACACCTGCCCTTTAGAGTGTCACTTCTGAGGGTGGTTTGAGCTGGAAACCTACAGAGAAGATGAAAACTGAATTTTCCTCCTGAACACAGGTCCTAACCACAAGGGCAGCCTTCCCACCCAAGTGCTGTGTGAACAAGACACCCTGGCCCTCTGCTTGGGTCATCTCAGCCCATTCCTTCCGAGAGGAAACGAAAGGTTCTAGCACAATGGTGACAACAAAGGCAAAAACAAACTGAAAGAGCAGGATTCAGCAAGGGCACAGCATCATCCAGGGACTAAAACCTGCCTTCTGGATCAGCCAATTCACTTTGACAATATGTTTTAAGACGCCTGAAGGGGATTAAGGTTTAATTACGACTTGACATGAAGCTACAGTATTTCCACTACAATTGTGGCCAGTACAAAGGGCCCACAACCCTTAGCTTATGACTTGAGTTTAGATTTAGGATGGAGGCCCAAACTGGCCAATGGAATATTCCACATCATGCAGGGTCATGCCCAGTATAGAGATGAGGACTGGCCAGGAAGTTTGGGGTCTCCCTCTCTCTCTTTGGATCTCTTTGTGGGGCTCTCGCTCTTCTGGGATTGCAGTTTTGGGACTTCTCTGTTTTGGGATTGCTAGCTGGGATGAGACGGGCAGTGGTCAACATGTGAGATGAGCAAACTGCATTGTGCATCACTTGTTTGTATAGATTATTATTGTTATACACAATCAATTATTATTATTATCACTTATATTTTTATTATTATTAAATTGTTCTTAGCTGAACCCACTAGTCTCCTTCCCTTTTCCCCTTCAAGTCTCTTACCCATTCCCCGGGGGTGAGGGAGGGTGGGCGAGCAGCTGAGTGGCATTCAGTAGCCAGCCAGGTTAAACCACGACATGGTGTTTGATCAGACGCATTTCAGCCGATAACAACTACACTGAAAATTACATCCCAGGGCACAAAAACGTCGGGGAAAAAAAATAAAAATCAAGCAGCATCACCTTTAAGTTCACTTGCTCTTATAAAGTTTGCTAAATCTTGCTGTATTCTTTGCCCTCCCCCATCTCTCACGCACACAAAATCTCCCAGCCCAGACAAAACAGATGCATTTGGTAACTGTTCCGTTAACCTTTTTGTTTGTTTGGTGACTGTATTCCAGTGAGTAGATGCCCCATCCCTGGAAGTGTTCAAGGCCAGGTTGGATGAGGCTTTGAGCAACCTGGTGTAGTGGAAGGTGTCCCTGCCCATGGCAGGGGGGTTGGAACTGGATGGTCTTTGAGGTCCCTTCCAACCCAAACCAG